CACACACACACACACTCCCTTTCTTTTCGAGGAGTGTTTCTGTGTGTTTGTGAAAAGTTGCACTTAAACACACCATATACATTCACACAGTATCGACGAGTCTAAAGGCCTGTCTGTCACGAGGCCTGTTTCCAGATATTGTTGTTTTTAAATGGCTGTTCTTATTATTGCTATTGTTGTTATATTGGTGAGTTGTTGTATTTTCTTTCTTCTTTTTTTACATAAAAGGGAGTTAAAGTTGTATCATTTTTTAATTATTAGGATGTTTTTATTTGTATTTTCTTCCTCATTTCTCTTACGAGCGTGATTATTATCGGCAGTGTTTTCAATCTTTCTGACACCTTTTTTTTTTTTTTTCTTTGATTTCCCCTCCAAGATCTTATAAGGAATTATTTTAAAAGAAGATATAAGTAGATTGTCAAAGAGATATGAGTTATTGAGGGTTATAGTCTGTATATTCTATGGGTATTATGAATTAAACGATTAACAAAGAAACAGAATTATATACATATAATTAAATAAAATTTCCTGATACTGTTGCACCTGTTTGTGGTTTTTTGTTTTTCCTTCCTTTGCATTTTCAGAATCTTTTACATTGTGTCATTGAACTCCAGGGCCCAGTCTTGGCTATAGCTTTGATCTAACTTATAGTCAGATTTAAGATAGACACACAAAGCTGTCTGTTCTTGGCCAAGTATTCATAAGTAGGACTAATTTGCTGAGAATTTTTTCCTCATTAAGTCACATGGCTGACTGGACAACTGCATCAAACCGCTCAGCTCTGCTCACTCTAAGAGGCAGAACCACAGGGGTGGTACAGGCCCCCCAGTGCCCTCACTACTAAAGTAAGAGAAACAATTTTCACATTCCCCATTTTTTGGTGGAAAGTCATTCAAACCACGAAGAGATTTTTTTTTTACACTCAAACTGATACAAAGTGACTACAAAGAGGCACAAAACCACAAAGTAATCAATTTATCAATGTTATTTCTTAGTAAAATATTTAATACGAAGTTCCAACTTAACTAGTATCCTTCTTGAAAACAGTTAAAGTCACAAACAACCTCACAGTAGAATAAAATCTCAGGCCAGTAGAGCTGTGGCTTCTTAATGTGTCATCACAATCAGGTTTCCAAATGAAAACGCCTGACAATGTCATCATGGACACTGCTCTGCAGTGATTGTTTCCATGGAAACGTGGTTTTTAGTTCTGGGGTAGGCTGGCCAACTTTAGGCTTAAAATAAGTTATTTCATTAGACTTATCTAAGAGCAAAATTAAGATGGGCCTAACTACAGACCGGTCTGAAATAGAAATATGAAACCGGCCCAAAAGTAAACTTTAGGCCTCAGACTCATGGGAATGCATGTACAATTAACTGTGCGGCATCTCGCCATGAACTTGCTTTTCCTGCTATACAGCTTTCCCATATGACTTCATAACATGTCTGAGCATGGCTTCCCCCTCCGTCCCTGACTTTCCCAGAGTCTTTGATTGGAAACTGAAAACGCGGATGATGGCAGGAAAACAGAAAAGTCGTCAAATCTGATCTCAGTCAACATGACAAGGATTTGCTCACACTGTGTGTCAAAAGGAGACCCCTGCAAAAGTGGGAAAATGCTGGAAAGTCACCTCACACTGCTGTGAATAGATTTCTCTCTTCTGGTGAAAACCATGCTTGTTGTAACACCGCAGTGGGGGCTCGGCCTCTTGCACTATTGTTTGTCACATTCCAGCTTTGCTATTGAAGCTGAACAATACAGTACCACACTGCTGACTTTGTATACTTGTATACTGTATATGTAGAGAGCATGCGTGCCTCTAGACATGTGATAGTTTTCATATTTCTGGCCTTGTGGGTCAGAGTTGAGTTTACATATCTCCACACACCACAACCCCTTTGTCAAATACACACAGGCTAAGAAACCTGCCACACTCCCAGTGATGCCTTTGTCTTTCCCCAGCCCAGCTATCAGCTACCACAACGTTATAATAAATCTGGAGAGGTAAACTGCTAATTTTCCTAATTAGGTTCTACCTGTGATTTATAATGTGATGCTTATTTAGTGTCCTATATCTTATGTGTCATACAATACTAGTGAACGAACTTCATCCTCCAAACAATAAAGCAGAATAAAAACCTAGAAAGGTGCCCATGTACACACGCACAAACAAAGCCACCTATATCCTAGCTTAACAAAAGTGAAGAGAGTGAAATAGTATTGCCACAGGCAGGGGAGAGGCCAATGAGAGAGAGGTGAATTGAGCTCTGGTTTACGAGCTGGTGCTTCATTAACAGAGTTTTACAGCTCTGAAGGTTTCGGGTGCGTTGACTAAGATTGAGCAAGAAAGAGACTTTCTTCGGTCTTACCTGTCTGTCCAGTTTTTTATTACCTTCCAAGGAAGACAGAGAGCAGACTGTCTCGGCGTTTGGATCTGTTCACTTGTCCTTAGAAACACAAAGGGGGATTGTTGCAGAGTTTTATGAACAGATTATCACTTTTTGCTGAACAAGGACACACGTCAGTTTTATAAGATCACTGTTTTGGACATTGCAGAGACAGGAGCTGGACATATTTATAGGGAAGGATGAGCAGTTTTCTGTACTTCATCCTCCCAGCTCTGGGTGGATACGCTCTCACCTCGGTGTACCTGCTGAAGAACCCACTGATTCTCCACAGGAGGAAACGCACAGCCTTTTACAGCACACACATCTCACACAGAGGAGGTAAGGGGGCAACTGGTGGCGTGTCAGGAGGGAAGGGTATGTCCAGATAATGACGTGCAGTCCAGCTGGATGTGGAGGAGTCTTGCCAGCTGGGAAGTACCCAAGGAGAAAGATGGAAGGATGTTTGCTATTTAAGTATTTTTGTATCACTTTTCCACATTTTAAGGGCTGATTTTTTTCAGTAGTTGCACATTTGGGGTTAAAGAATCTACACTTTCCTAGAATGTGTGTGATGATGAGTGCACAGATGTTTGATTGGAAGGTGAAGGTGACAAATTACATTTTATTTATTTATTTTATGTTTTTTTCAATCCTTTCATTGACTTGCAGCAAATTACACTACAGTGAGCATGTTGAAAAGAGAATGCAGATATCCGATTGATAACCTCATTGTTTCAGTGACTCAGTGTGTCTCTTGCAACATCTGGAGGTTTTTATAATGTGGCTAGAGCGAGGGAGCTGATCAGAGGTTTTATCATTCACTGTTTCCTGCACACCTACAGTGGAGGCAGTGATGCAGTTTTCTCAGAAAGGGGTTAACCAGGTGTGGTTTCTTTTTCCTCTGCTGCCATCATCAACTCTAACTCCTCTGTCTGTTGCCAGGATGTGGAGAGAGGATAGAAAGCACGATGGAGGCGTTCACAAAGTGAGTACCAAACTCAAGAGGTCAGCTGACAGGGAAATATGGGCTCATAACTGACAAATAAAGTCGGTGAAAACTGATTGTGGCTGAACTACAAAGATTTAGTCAAACTACCTTACTCAGGATTTACTGAACTCAAATATATCTCTAACCTTATAGGGGTTAAGGGTCAACCACTAGGAATTATTTACAAAAGCACTATAACCAATAAATAACTCTTCTGTTATCTCTTTACAAGCAAGCACAATAGCTCATTTTGCTTAGGGCTGTTGATATGTTGATTGGCAGTGAAATAGAACAATCAGTTCATGTGTCCAACTGAGCACCAATTACTCTGATTTCATCTTTTATTTCTATGTTTCTATGATGATCCAGTCTCATAAAATGTTTTAAAGTATATAAGATAAAAGAGGGATTAGGTGAGGCATCTTGGATTAAGCACGTTTCCACTTGCACGACTTGGACGCTGTCTAATAAATTGTCCCTGTGAGTTTCTTCGGTTTAAAGGTCCAGTGTGTTAAAAAAATTTATATAATATTCATAGGTATGTTTTCATTAGTGTATAATCATCTGAAAATATAAGAATCATTGTGTTGTTATTACCTTAGAATGAGCTGTTGTTATCTACAGGAAGTCTGCTACACATTTTACAATCTTCTCATTCCAAGGTCGTCGAATACACATGCGAGTGGTGTTCAGTTAGTTGCAATCTAAAACTTCAGCTAGATGCCACTAAATCCTACACACTGGTCCTTTAACAACACAATACTTGGACATCTAAACTTCCTTTGTCAGTACAAGATTGAGAGAACAACATGAATCTGCAGTTCTCAGATCAGATCACCAGTATAACAACAGCTAAAATGTGAATCAGTATTTAAGATATGCTGTGCAATATTTGAGCAAGAAGAACAGATTCTGCTTTATGAAAGAATAGTAAGTATGCAACGCTGAGCTGTATTAATTGTTTAGCACTGGTTCCACGAGAGCTGGAGGAGCAGAAGTGGAGAAAGGTTCTCTCTCTGCACAGGTAATAAAAACATGTATTCTCACTTTTTATCTTTCCTCCATCTGTCTGCAGTGCGGTGGAGCAGGGCACACACATGCTGGAGATGGACTGCCACTTGACACATGATGGACATGTGGTGGTGTCACACGATGAGAATCTGCTGAGGCAGACCGGCCACGACGTCACCATCTCCTCACTCAAGCTACAGGTGGGAGGATGGATCCAGGTGGTTAGGAGAAAGGGCACAGGGTCATGCTGAGACAGGCTCAGATGTGTATAATAAGCAGCATCATTCACATTTAAAATAAATTCCCCTATATTCCAGGTTGCTCCAGTATAACTGCAATGTTCAAAATAGCTGCATGCAATGATGATGATTATCTATGAAGCCTTGGAGACACATCTCACCAAGCAGGATTTCTAAATAAGTTAGGTACTGAGTTAATAGATAAAACTTAGGTCCATGAACTGGGCAAACACAATTTTGTCAGATTAAAACAAACAAAACCTGGTAATCTACAGACCACCATTAACCCAAGTCAACCATAATAACAAGCACAGAAGGTTGTTTGTCCTGGAAAGACACGTTTAAATCAATTACATTCACAGTAATCTAAATAAGGGTTTTCCTCAGAGTTTAATATATTATGATAATATAACTTTTACGTGTGTTTTTACACTCTTCTAGGATTTGCCTGTATATAAGGAGAGACTGGAGGTGACATTTTATGAAGGCGAGTTGCTCCTCTCATTCTTTAATCTCAGTCATTTACAAAAAAACATGTGATGAAGAAGTAGGTCAACAGGAGAGTGTGAGTCTGTACCCTTCATTGTCACACCTCCCTCCTCCAGGTCGCTACAGCAGCGGTGCAGACAGGAAGTTTGCTCTGCTCGAGGACGTGTTCAGGAAGTTCCCTGAGATGCCTGTCAGCGTTGAGATCAAAGAGAACAACCACCAGCTGATAGAAAAGGTACAGTACACCCAACCACATTGCTAGTGGTTGGAAAGAATCTCCAGAACATGAAACAATATGTATTATCATCTGTAACATTCAGTATCAGTGGATATATTGGATCCCCAACATCTAACCAGTAACTTACTGTGATACGATATTTATTGACATTCTTTAGAGATATGAAGCATTGCCAAAAAACAAAAACTCAGTAAGAAATAAAATAAAACTCCCTCAAAATAAAATAAGTAACATGACCTGAGATAATTGTGATTTATTGGCTTTCTGGATGGTGGAAACAAAGGTGAACAACTAACCAATCAGACCCTTTGCTGTTTGTATTTGCTCGAGGGATCAGGTTTTGAGGCTTCAATTTGTGATGCTTAGCAACTATCCAGTTAAATGTCAAGAGTATCTCTAATGATGGGATTTAAATTACAGCCACTTTGCAGTTTGTCTGTTTTTTTCATGAGCAATGTGCCTTCAATTTAGACTTCATGTTGCTTTAAAACTCCCACATGTAGAAGTGGTTTCTTTTGAGGTCAAACATCCTGCCTATGAGCATTTTTTAACTTCAAAGTTAAGGTCTTTGTAACATTTTGTCCTCCTCAGGTATAATTATGTATTTACTGCCCCTGTCTTGAAATCTAAAGCAGCTACGCCTGTGATGTTCCTGTTTGTACATTGCATGTGTCTGTCTTGTTTCATATTACCTGTATTTCAATTTGATACCCACCCCCACCCCCACCCCCCTGTACATTTCGAAGGTGTCTGACTTGGTGAAACACTACAACAGGGAGGAGATCACTGTCTGGGCCTCCGTGAACTCCAGCATCATGAAGGAATGCTGCAAAACGGTACATAAACCACCTGAGGGAGACAAAGCTCCTTGTACATTATTTTACTATAAATTCACCTCATCTAAACAGGTGAGATTATAAACTGTGTCTCTGTTTCCTGGTAGAACGGCTCCATGCCATTCAGCTTCACTATGAACCGAGGTGTGCTGCTTCTGCTCCTCTTCTACAGCGGCCTGCTGCCCTTTGTGCCGCTGGAGGAGAGTTTACTGCAGTTCTACCTGCCACGCATCATCAACAGGTGTGCCCTATGTCTGTTCATGCATGTGTCACTGAGGATGATGTTCTTCATTTCTGCCCAGACTATATTTAACCACAGCTGTCTTCATGTCTATGCCCAGTATTTCCACAGATTTTACATTTCTTCTTAGATTTCCTTCTCTTGTTTGGTGTAAGATAAATGTGTCACAGTACAGATGTTAATTCTTTCTCTGTTTCTGTCTGCTGAAGGACGTTCATCCCTGAGAATCGCATCCTGAAGAACAGACTGGTTGTCTCTTTGTTAGAAAAGTGAGAGAGAGTAAAAAAAAAAGCCTTACACAAAAACAAAAAAACATTACACAAAGTCATGCTTTTATGCAGAATTACAACATTTTGGAGTGATGCACTTTATATAGCAGCAAAATCTAGTTATGTATGATTGTTTTTACTGCTATTTGTGAATAAACTGAATCATTAATATATGAATTGATGCTGTCATTCCAGAGTAACAATGAGGAAGAGCCTTTTTAAACACCTTGCAGCCCGTGGAATTCAGGTATGAATACATTTGCATACATACATACAGCACATACAGTCCCTAAAAGCAGAGTTTACTAGGTTTACTGAGTTCATTGCAGGATTGCATAGAAAACAAAAACAGTAAAATACATAAAGTTTAGATAAAAATAGGGCACACGATAAGATAACAAGAGTGTACCAACTGTAGGACTTCATTTCACCAAAACACTTAATAGTTAATGCATATTACACTTCAGTGTTTCAACTTCAGCAAGCAGTATCACAGCCACTAAGAGTGTCTTGAATGCATCACCTCTGTCTTGATGTGAGTAATCTCTGCTGGGATGAGCTCACCCCCATCGTCAGCCCATGAGTGGTCACTGAATAGTTTGAGCATGAAAACAATTGAAGTCATATGCCGTAGCCTTGTCAGCTGCTGAGGGCATCACCACATTTGAGCGCTTGTGAGTAATTCCGAGGTAGAAAAGCTCTTCCCCTTGTCATCCACATAAAAAACAGAGAGATTTCCTCCACTCAAAATAACTGTACTGTCACAATGTGTTACCCACGATTCAGCAGTGTACGATCATCTGTGATACATCGTTATATATGTGTAATAAAGAAGAAAATAGAAGGAAATCCTAATAACAAGGTACTAAAACCACCGTAAATGTTGGTATAACAATGGAAAATGCTGCTGCCACATACATCAGTGCAGCATATCAATGTGAAACACTGTAGTCGGTGCTTGAAGGTCTGACTTTATGCTTATGTCTGCTCTATTTTGGCTGCTACATCTGAGACAAGTGCAACCCTCCCAGATTAGGACAACAGGGTTTGACTTCTATTGATGGTCAAGTCACGTACTGTGGCTCAAAACTGCAGGAAGGATGACAGGGAAACATGATTTTAAGCTTCACTCCCTCTGTGTTTGCAGTCCCACAGACCCCTCTGGTGCATGTGTAAAAATAATTATACTGATCGCAGAATCAACTAAATGACAAAAAGCATTGTCATTACACTGAATAAGGAAATACTTCATGTTTTATATGTTAATTTGCCATAGTGTCATTATTTATGTTTGAGGTCAGTTAGACTCCACAGAGGTGCAACTCCCTGTTAGACCCTGAACAAACTCTAACTTATAAAACTCCACTACAAGGAAATTTTGAAAACACCAATCAGAAATGAAGCATAATTTTCTGTAGCAAACCTCAAAATCATGTTTACAAGCAGATCTGTTAAAATAAGGGAAAGTCATGTGATATGAAGGAGATCAAAAAGTACAAGTATGTTTTTTGAGCTGTTAAACAGATCGTTACAGTTGACTAATATGTCTGTACTCGCAGGTGCATTTGTTTGTGTGCAATGAAGATGAAGACATAAAGGCTGCATTCGAAGTGGGGGCCACAGGGGTGATGAGTGACTATCCGAGTGTCTTGACAAGCTACCTCTGCAGAAACAGAAGTCAGGATTGACCCCACACACGTCCCCACATGACAACAATTAATAAACTCATCACATGGAAATGATGTATGAGGATTGTGTACACAAAAAGACTGTAAAAGTGTCCAACACATTTCCTCAACCGTGACAGAAGAGCTGTTCATTGTTCACTGTTCACTGTTGATGTGAATTATCTGCAGTCAGTCAGTCAAACAGTCATTGTATATAATAATGTATATCATAACGGTGCTGGTGGGATTTTACTTGATTTTTCCTTTTTTAGTGCAATGAGACACAGTACAGACATAGGCGTAATCAAATATAATACAGACAATAACACGAAACACTTAACAGAGGTTATGATTTGTAATTGGTGCATATTTTTAGTTGTTTATGGGAAAACAACACATACACATACACATACACATACATATATACATATACACATGTCATATTAGGAGCCCATGTGTTTCTGTGCCTGTATGAAAGTGTGTTGTTGTGTGTCAAGTGTTAATGTTTGCATAGGTGTGACCAGAGGAATGTGCAGGTATGTGTGAGGAGGAGGAGGAGGAGGAGGAGGAGGAGGAGGAAGAGGAGGAAGAAGAAAATAAATAAGGAATCAAATGGGGAAAAAAAGAAAAAGTGGTGAAAAGGAAAATACATATATGTGCACATACACACATTATGTACGTGTGTATTTAATATAACAAATATATCAACAGCTTGGGTTTTACAGGGGTTCACTGCAGTACTTCTTTATCTTTTCTTATCTTTATCTTACGGGTGTTACTGTCTTGGTCTGCCCCCAAACCCTTGCAATGATAATGATATTTATGTTCAAGAAAATAGGTAGTTTATCTAATGAGTGGTGATGAATAACTGAATAGTTGATGACAACAACAACTCAAGGCAACAATAGATAATGATAAACAAGGATGTGGAGAAAGAAGATGTGTTGTCTTGTTGATTGTGATGAATCTACTGATGAATTGGAGTTGGTTTGCCAATAAATAATGGAAGTAATGTGGGGGTTTTTTGGTTTTCGGTTGCCAATTTGGTGTATTGTATATCCACAATAATATTTGGGGATTTTGAAGTCTAGGTGAGGGTGGGTTTAATTGGAATGATTGAGAATTACATTTATTTTAGGGACACTTTAACCCTTTATCAGGCGAGGAACCATATATAGTAACTTCCTTATTTTTTTAATAGGTGATATACTAATAGTTACGGCTTTCTTCTTACAAATAACTCAGAGTGGGCTTGATCTTGATTTGCTTAAGGTTTATTTGTTACATATTTTCATAGTATATTGATGTGGTATATTTCTTTTGCAGCAGCTGTTTGCTCAGTCCTTCTATGGGAAGAGGAGGCCTGCTGTGCCACAGACTGTTGGTGTACCTACCTACACATCATTGACTTTGCAGCCTAAAACTGAAACTTTTTTAAAAAGTCAAAAAAGAAAAAATGTCTTCTTATATCCACCAATAACACTCCAGGGTTAAAATTTTAAATTTGCAAGTTGTTCAATGAGTGCCCTATAAAGGGTTAACAGTACCTATTCTGACAATAACTGATATCGATTGATATCGATAGATAATGGGTTTGGTCCAGTTTATAGAGTAACTGCAAATGTTCATGATTCTCCAAAGCCTATTTTTCTAATGTGGCAAATAGAAAAGTCCCGTTTCTGCATCAAGAGAGATGAATAATCTATTAAACTTATTATTTGCATGTATTATTGGATGAGTGTTCACCTTCAATAAACGATTTGGATGGATTATGGAAAGAATCAAAGTAAACTAGAGCCTCACTTTTGACTCTGATCTCTGTGTTGATGAGTGAAATGGGACAGTAGCAGTCAGGTTGGTTGGTTGTAGTTTGTAGTTGGTTGTAGTTTTGTTTTGTTTCAGTTGTCAGTCTGTGAAAAAATGACTAGGAAGGTCCAGTGTTTGTAGCTGGAGAATATTTAACCAGCTGGACCACGTCACCTCTCTCATGATAAGAGAGAGAAGTGTGACTTTGTTTTGACTGCGTCTGGAGTTATTTTCTGCCATTATTTGATTGGTATGAGAAAGTGCAGGACTTCAATAAATGATCTGGGACAATTCCCTTTTGCTTTTGTATGCTTTTATATATTTTCTATGGCGTTAAGATGAAAATAAAACCAACATGGGGGTTGGAAATGAAAGTAAGGAAAAGGTAGACTTACTGATAGGTTGCTATAAATATATCCATATAGGTGAGTATAGCTTTATAAGTATGTAGGCTGTGTTGTGGATCTGTGTTTAATACAGACTCTCATCTACTATAAACTAGGTTTTTAATGTGCTGTAAGCCTCACCTGTGTCCTTGTTTTCCCAGGCTACGGTCAAAGTCTAGCCACACTGCTGTGATAATAATCAACCAGTCTGTTGGTGAAACAAAGACTGTATTTTTCTGACCTGCTTGGCTGTGCCTTCCTCTGTGACAAATGAGTTAATAGAATATAAGTGGATCAGTGCAGACTGACGTCTTCAATAGGGTAGATACGGAGAAAAGGTTTGAATAAGCGAGCCAGCAGTGAATTTAGGCTCCTGTGCTCATACAAGACACAGAGGACATCACCAGTTATATTTTTGGACTCTAGGGAGTTTATTGGCATTAGGTTGGGTTTAGATTCACATGTTATACAATTTGGGACTATACCTAAAATATTAAGTGTTTTTAGACAAAGAAAACAACTGAAAAAATTCACAATGGAAGGAATGCTTTTTAATAGAGCTAAAACAATTGGTCAATTAAGTGATTCATCAATTGACAGAAAATTAATCTGCAACAATTTACTATAAAACTGGCTGTTTGTCTTAATTCTTGAATGCAGCTGTAAGAGGAATATGTTTGGGTTTGGGCCTTCTGGTCAGAAAAAACAACACACACACACA